CTGCTGCCCCCCCCCCCCCCTCCTTAAAAAAAAACCACAACCTGAACTATTTATTAGGTAATGTAACTTTTGGTTATATGCAAATGAAGATGTAATAAGCTGAATTTTCTTTTCCAGGATGATTCGGAAAGTAGCAGCTGCAGTTTGCCAACGGTGTAACCCAGAGATGAACTGAAAATAATTACGTGACCTCAAGCCATCTTTCTGTGGACTAAACTAAAAGTTACTGGACTACATTTATGTTATTTTATAGAATGTCATAACGAAAGTTTATCCTGTTGGATAAATTGTGGAAGCTGCCAGTGGTGAAAACCTTTGTGTGATTGCAACAGCGAGGTCCTTGAAGCTGTGAGCTTCCTTGGCCATTTTTATAAATGCACAGATAAAACAACTTAAATTAACCCGGCATAGATTGGGATCGTTCTTTCATGGCAGGGACTGTGTCTTTGCAGGAATTTCACCGTTGTATAACACAGCTTCTAACAATATCTGATAGATTGGCTGATGGATGGACAATTCTTAACAAGGAAACCCCAGAAAAAACATATTTAATGAAGAAAATAATTGTCCCTGATACAGATAATAAACTAGATGTTGACGCAACAGTTCTGCCCTTGGAGGAACATCTAGACGACGTTTTGAAAGACGAAAATGCGATTGCTGAACAAAAAATTGGAACGCTCACATGGGAGTACCACGTGTTGTATAGTCATAGTTATTCTGTACCGACGCTGTATTTCAACGCGTGGACAATTGACGGACGGCTGTTGAGTCTGGAGGACATGTGGCGCCACGTGAACGCAAAATTCCAAGATATTATGAAGGAGGACGGATGGAGCGTTCTCACTCAACAGGAACATCCTGTGCTGAGGAGGCCGTTCTACCTGTTACACCCTTGTCGTACTGCCGAGTTCCTGGATTGTTTTCAAGGCAAGAGTTCCAACATTGTGATAACGTGGCTAAGCTCAGTGGGTCCTGTAGTTGGACTGACACTTTCCGCCCAGTATGGGCAAACTGTATCAACTGAATGAACATGTTCATAGTGCAGGGAAGACTTATTTCGTAAGTTTATATGTAATTGAAATAATAAATGAGATATTATTAAAACAGAGAGTTTGTTACATCCTAGGGAGCTTAGGTTGGTTAAGTTTCTAAATATTTTATTAGAACCAATGTTGTGCCAGTAAAGTTAGTAGGACTAACTAACTAACTAACTAGATGGCTGACGGAACCCGAAGGTTCATCACCGAATTAACCAAACCGTTCCACCGGACCCTGTCCTGGGCCAACAAAATCCAGTCTCCTTCAACTCCTATCTCCCATACATCCCGCCTGACATTTTCCTCTCACCTACGTCTAGGTCTCCCCAGCGGTCTTCCCGACCAATACCTGGTGAACACATCTTGCCCCATCCATGCGCCCTATATGCCCCGCCAAAACTTAGTAGGGCAGAATCGAAAATTACCTTGCGTTCACACAATGTGGAATTGGAGGACGAAACAGGAGTTCAAAACAAGGAAATAAGTTTTTTAAAATTTGTGAAAGTTTAAAGAACAATACGTAAAGGAAGGAAACACAACCATCTTGTCTACAACGAGCTTAGCAGACATACTCAGCCAACCCCTAATATTGTAAAGCTAAATGTATACGAGAATTTGATATTTTGCGCAAACTGGCACTTAGTCAGAAAGGCTTAATTTTCTTTAAGTATCTAGTAAGGACATGCGTTCAACATGCCAAAAATATTATAAGAAATAGTAATTTAGTGGGTTTGACATTCACCGAGCTTCAGAATATCACTGAAGTGAATAGGACGGCGACTTAATGTAGCGTGCTTTATTGGTTGATAATAGGCTTACAAAATGTGTACACACATAAATTGGCTTAACGTACAAAATCTAAGTTCATGTTCGCTCACCTCGGATATTTAAATCAAGGTATTGGATTACGGGTGCATAAAACAAACACAGCTATTTCTGAAATTACACCAGAATTAGCCAGGACTAACCGAGAATTATCGGGTCATATGTACTCCATACAAGGTCCTATCTCTCTTATACCCTTGATACCAGCGTAAGATAAGATAAAAGGTAAATATATTTTACACTCTGTTATGGTTATTGGTAATTATATTATGTTCGCATATGTAAGGAGGGAATTTTTATTGTTTGTAATATCAATGTTTACCTCCTTCCAGTCCGTATTATATGCATGATGCGCAGTTAAGGGAAGTCAAAATCACGATCAAAGGACAGGAGGTCGAACCTCGTCCTCGACTATACTTGGTGGTACTCCCAAGTATTGTATTTGTGCTACGACCTGTTCTGCATCTTTGGCTTGTACCTATGAAAGATCTATGGAATGTAAATAAATTCTATTCTATTCTATTCAGTACACTAGGACTTTGTACCACCGCCCTCAGTCCAACCGATTTATAACTTCGGCGACAAAACAAATTAGTGAAACAGCGGAAGGATACATCATGCATAGCCTTATCAACTACTTTGACTATTGTTTCGGGATATTCATTGAATTCCGTACAAAATATTTCTTATTATACCACTGAAAACTTTTTCGGGTTGCTTGATACGTTAATCGCATAGTTCAAGTGGTTCCATTTTAATTAACTGTTTCTGTGGTTGTATAATTTGATGTTGATACTTTTGTTATTGTTCACTGTTTACGTAACTTGTTATCAGTGACGCCCTGTGATGTTTATTTTTCGATTATGAATCTATTTAGCAGCTGAAGCAATCATAGATAATAAACCTTGGCGGCTGCATCTACAGTAGAGTCTGTTGGACAGTAAAGATTATATTGTACGCTTTTAACTAACTAACTAGATGGCTTACGGAACGCGAAGGTTCATTACCAAAGCCCTTCACCGGACACTGAGATATATCCTTTTAATCTTCAGACTTGTATGAAGGAAGGAGAGTCAATACTTGGGAGAACAACACATATACAGGCTGTCACAAAAAGATCTATTCGGATAATACGGAGAAAAAATTGTTATCTATTTCCGTGTGTTATGTTTAAGGTCTACACTTAAAAGATGTCACCGCAATATCTTTTCCCATGATTCAGAGAACGCAAAATGGCAGAGGTTTAGTTTGTTAAAATGTCCTTAATTCTTTCATTGAATGTATATATGTTACCGGCAATGTATAGAATGCCTAATGTCAGTAGGCAAAGTATGGAATAAATCGTAATGCTAATATTGTTTGGTTGTGTAAATTACAATTAATAAAAGTCGATTGGGTAAGCGGTCAGGATGGAGGTTGTGCAAAATACTCGCGAAAACACCGAGCTACTGAATCTGAACGTAGCAAAAATTTTGAGAATAAAAAAATATTGTTTTATATAGTAACCTAACCTAACCTAACAAAAGTTTTGCCAATTAAAAAGTGATAGTGGAACCACGGTTCCGGAGAATTTGACGTAAATACGTCTATACGGTAAGGAATTTTATATATTGGCTTTATTGATTAAAGTTTGAGTAAGACATTACTGCCTACCTTGAATTACGAGGTGCGATCGGAAAGTTTCTAGACTGTGTCAATAGAGGGCGAACCGGATGTAGTACGAGCTTCTGCTGCTAGGGGGTGCGGCCTACATTCATAGTGAATCAGTGTGCCAGCCGGAATCATCGAATTAGCATTTGTTTCTTAGTTACGGGCGTTTTGGTAGTGCATTACACCGACCCTCCTGCGATTTCGGAATGGCGTGTGCATCAAATTTGGCCAAAGACTCGCCAAAACGGCTACGGAAACCTATGAAATGCTAAAGCAAGCATTTGGGGAGTCCGCAATGGGTCGTGCACAAACTTTTGTGGGGCATTCACGTTTTAAAAATGGCCCAACCTCTGGCGATGATGACGAGCGTTCTGGACGACCATCTTCGAGCACAACGCCCGAAAATGTTACGAAGATTCGGCAGGCCATTCACGAAGATCGACGTCGTACCATCAACGACTTGGTCGACATTGTTGGGATAGGCTATGGGACATGTCAGCTGATTCTAAAGGAAGAACTCCACATGCGACGCAAAGGCTCCTGTCTGAGGACCAGAAGCAGAATCGACTTCTCGTTTGTCAGGAGCTCAAAGATCTTGCAAGAACCGACCCCAACTTCCTTCCTAAGCTCCGTGTGACTTCTTCCTCTTCCCAAAGATGAAAATTCAGCTAAAGGAAAGGAGATTTGAGACGATAGAAGAGATTCAGGCAGAATCGCAGATGGTGCTTGACAGGCTGACAAAGAAAGATTTCCAGGGATGCTTCCAGGCTTCGCAGCGGCGCTGGGATCGTTGTGTTCACTCCCAGGGGAACTACTTCGAGGGTGATGGATGAATTTAATACCTGAGATAAGTGCACGGGTTTTTATACGCGCAGTCTGGAAACCTTCCGATCGCACCTCGTATATTTATAGCCTCATTCAGATTGTGATGGTCGTTTTTAAGATATCGTTTAATTGACAACAATATTCTGAGCTTTCTATTCAGATGTGGTGTTGCTAATTTTCTTTGCCATCGTCTACAGCAGCGGTCTCAATAGTTCTTTATTTAATGGACACTCTGTGACGAAATGTGTAGTAAGCCCGACTGCTTTCATTGTAAACACCGAATACCAGATTTAATAGATATATGATCAGTACTTTTGTAGTTGAAACGTGAGGACAGATGGACCGACACCACCGTTTATAAGGAATTTACTTCGTCTAGTACTACGAAATATTGGACTCCATTTTCCACACAGCAGTTGATAAATAGATAGCGTATTTTGAAATTTAAGACACCTGTATATCTTAAGTAATATTTATGTTGCGATGAGTCGCGGACTAAACGTTTTGAAATTATATTTTTAAGCTTTCTTTACGTCTTGTTTTCTGGCTACATTCTTTTTTTAATTTATCGTAAGAATGCATACAATTTTTAGTAGCAGCAGCTGTAATTACGCACGTGACGTAATTGCGTTGGTAAAAGAAATGGCAGTCTCTCAACTACAGTGATTGTTTTTACATAGTAAGAAAAACGTTGTTTAAGAGCCTTTTGTTTAATAGTGAAAGAAGAAGTTTCCTGTGGAATGTTTAACTTCTGAATTTGAGCAGATTTAGTTAACATGATTACAGCCGCCAAATGTGATTAAAAAGTTCTTACCTAGTTCTGCTTTACGGCGCCATAAACTTTGACTGGTGTTTTGATTGTGTTCGGTCGGTGCATTAAACTGAACCTGAAGTGGGTTACACTCGACTTTGCCATGCCTAGCTGCTGGTTTTGTGAATGAAAATAGTTCCTCTATGTAGTACGGACCGAGATTCGTGAATGTCTATCAAAATATTTATTTTTGTATATTTTGTTTAGGATTTCTGTTTAATAATATTTTCTCTAACTTATGTGTGACGAGTTGAACATTAAAGAAGCCTCTAATTCAGTTAAGTTATTAATTATTAGCGTACTACATCAACAACCAGATGGCTAATTATAGGTGTAGAACAAGATAATAAATGTAAAAAATATCCAATTATAAAGAAATTACGTCTGTAACAAAAGTTAATACAAAAAGGCAATAAGCGAGCAGCAAGGCAAAAATTATTTCGATATATATTGTAGTGAACAAAAACAGTAATAATAACAATAATAACAACAAAATCGTCGGCCTTGCGATATACATGTCCTTCGCCTGAATAGTCCTACTTAATGTCTGCAAATATTAACTGGTTCAGAGTTAATTCTGAATCGTAAGAGGCCAAATAGCCTAATACCCGTTAACGAAGTGCTATTTGCAACTTTCAAGCCATGTAAAATGAGTTAGTTAAAAATCTTAGAAAAGAATGTATAAAATTCTTCTGAATCACACAGAAAATGACTTTTTTTCAACAGTCACCAATGTAACTTAAATTAACAACTATTATATAATAAATACGTTTTTAACATAAGTATTTATATATTATATCAGGCGTAGACGATTTTCTACAAGATACAATGCGAAACTACCTCTGTTTTGTAACGAGTTAAGTGTCTAGCCAGAGATAAAACCCTTAAGTGCTAGAGAAAATTATTAGCTACTAGATATTTTGCATTTCCGCTATTAAAAAGGAAGATTACTTTAAATTAGTTATTGCGATATTTCAATTATGGTATTATTGTCATTTTTTTCAGCTCAATGACCGTTGTAAAAATTGGTTTAATATTAAGTTTTTGCAAATATAAAAGATAAAATAAAACTATATAAATAGTATTATAGAAAATTCTTTGTTCTTTGCCTATAGAATCTGAGGCATTTTATAAAATTCCTAGGTATTCTATTCTATAGAATACCTAGGCAAAGTATAAAATAAACTGTTAGTTTCATACATAGCCTAAAAGTTTTAATCATTTTATAAAATGCATGGGCATTCCATAGAATACCTGAATTTCATACTTTGCCTGCTGACTTCAGGCATTATATACATTGTCTAGGTATGCTATACATTGCCGGATTTTATAGTTTCCCGGTAACACATACATCTTTTTGTGGCATTCCGTGTGGGTAGATACATAGAACGATTTTTAAATAAACTACTTGTTCGCTGACGAGAAGCCTTTGGGTTCCGTAAAGGGTAGGATTTATTTGATCAGCATTGTGACGGTGTTTCGTGGAGAATCTGGACTAACTGGACAATGTATCCCGTCATTATTGTTTATACTTCCGTGTAAACGCGAAGAAACAACTTTAAAATAGATGGCTAAATTGTATGACGATTTTAACAAGTTAAAATAAGCACAGAATTCTTTAAAACTCAAATGCAGTCTTTACATAATTCAGTATTTTTTTTTAGATATTTTCCTTCTGGCTAATAGGAAATTATATTGCAGAAATTTAGTATGCATACACATAAATTTCCTTTTCGTCGATAAGAAATTTACGATAAATGTGTCAAGGACAAAACATTGCTGTAAGACAAACCGCAGAACACAATGTGCCAACATCCTGAGACAGATTTGTGTATTGTCTTTTCGTGAACTGCACAGAAAAATATAAATGGTGTGACTGATTGTTTGTTACAACAATTTAGACAAGATGGGGGTCATATATTTGTTACATTTGGTACTAAAATACTTCTTTTTTTCCATACTGAATCTCTGAAACTACTATCAGCTGTTAATTAAACTTATCTCTTGTGTTCAGTCGTACGAAAGTACGAGATGCTTACGCGCAGTTCACACCGAAGAAACTATACTTTATTCCATTATAGTTGAGAGGAGAGGCAAACAGTCCCCTCCCTTTTCGCCTGTCGTTCGCGTGGTTGGTGACTCTGTACTACCTGTTCTTAAAACACTCACAGTGGAACTTTTTTGTGTGTACTTAATCACAACTGTATAAACACAACTCCTAGCATAAGAATTAACAGTTATAA